TATTTGTGCTTGAATCCTGTGCTTTAAGTAGGTGCACTTCACACCATTTCAGGAATATGGATGAACCAGGTGTCTGGCACCAGAAGTAGCCCAATATCTAGTGCATGTCTGGCAACCAGACTTTTGTTTCTTGTACACCAACCTGTGACTCAGCAGTGGATCAAGCAGGGATTTGAAGTGCAAGATAGTATGTCACATTATAATTGTATTAGTGGTGTAGCAGTAATGCTACCATGGGGTACCTGATTGTCACATGTATGTCCTTTTCCATATTTACTAATGTCTACTGGTTTTGTTTGCTCTTGCCCACACATTATAGTTAAGCTGACATATATCCATCATTTCTAGCATATATGATAGGTCATAGAGGAGTCCAAAGTGTTAAGTGTTAAGGAAGGGCCAAAACATGCTGACTACCTTCAAAGTTGAAGTATTGACCTCTGGTGTACCATTGAAGTAGCAGATGGCATGAGCCATTGTGTATAACATGTGTCTGCATGGCATTCAGCACCTTGGAATATTCTTGTCAGTGTGTCATGTTGTTTAAACTATCTAGGACTACAGTAGAGTTAGTGCTGTCTGCTGGAACAGCAGCATGAGAGTTTTACATATCAAGTGTTGTACAATTAGATGGCAGGTAGAGACAACCTGGATATGATACACAACATACTATCTGCAGATGCATGTAATAAGCACCCAGATAGAGTGTTAATGCTGCTGGATGGTCTGCGGATATCCATTAAGGGTAAAGTGAGTGTGTTTTAGTGCACAAGGTGCCAGATGATGATTGTGGATGACCGGATGGTGTGCAGCCAGACTATACTAGTGCTGCAGATATACAAATGTAAGTGCTTGAAGCCGGACACAGACAGCATGGATGTGGGTGGCACTTTTGATGATATGCACAGGTGCTGAAACTTGGCAAAAGTAATCTAAAAGCCCTTAGAGGGCCTCCGATGGATGGCATGTGTACTGGAAAGTGTTGCAGCTTCACAAAATGGGCAATAGTAACACTCAGCAACATGGTACATGCCATCATGCATAAATCATGCAACTGTGGAAGTTATAAAAAAAGTGTGCACACTAAGTGCAGGTGTCCGGTGAGCCGGATGAAGAGCACCATAGTGCCGGATAGCAGTTACCAACCAATCATATGGTAGGTAGAATAATGCCGGATGAAAAACATGCTATCTGTAGATGCATATAATCAATAACCAGATGGTGTGTAAGTGCTACTAGATGGTCTGCGGATATCTGGTGAGAATGAAAGAAATACTGTTCAATGAACATGGTGCCGGATGATGGGTCCGGATGACTGGATGGTACGTGGCTGGACAATGGTGGTGTTGCAGATGCACAAATGCAAGTGCTCAAAACCGGACACAGATAGTATGGATATAAGTGGCACTTTCAATGATATGTACGGATGCTAAAACTCGGTGGAAGGACTTGGGAGGTATTTGGAAGTCCTCTGCCGGATCAAATATGTGCTGAAAAGTTCTGCAGCTCCATAGACATGGGTGTATGCTGACACTTAACACCATGACACCTGATAACATGTAGAAAGAATGCAACAGTAGAAGTTGCACAAAAGTATGGGAGCCAGGTGTGAATGGCCTTTGAGCCGGATGAAGGGTACCATGATGCCGGATAGAAGCTACCGGATAAGCATATGGTAGATAGAATAATGCCGGATGAAAAAAAAAAACATGCTATCAGTGAATGCATATAACCACTAATCGGATGATGTATATGTGCTGCCAGATGGTCTGTGGATATCTGGTAGCAATGAAGATAACATTGTCAAATGCACAAGGTGCCGGATGACACATCCGGATGACTGGATAGTGCATGGCCGGACTATAGTGCTATTGCAGGAGTGTGCATGCAAACACTTGATGCCAGACACGGACGGTATAAGCATTAATGGTCCATCCGGTGAAGTGTACGGATGCTTCGAATTATTGGATGGACTATAGTGGTTTTGAATAGGCCTTTTATGGATGGAATGTACTTTTGTGTCATCCGGCTGATACTCCAGCCCCAACATCTATCTACTTATATATCTAAGCTCTTTTCTTCTATAATGCATTGATCTCTTCCATCCACAAACAACACCAATGGGATCTGGCAAAGGCACCGCTGGCTGAGAACATTCATCCAACACCTACTGGCTTTAAAATTGTAACCACATTCAAATCATGCATTCACAACATCCGGTCCGGCATACCGTCCGCTCGACCGATGGACTTCAACTACAAATCTGGCACTTATTAGCTTTAAAACTGTAACCGCATTCAGATAAGGCTTTCATGTCATCCAGTCCGGCATACTGTCTGCTCTACTGATGGACCTCAACTATGAATCTGATACCTATTAGCTTTAAAATTGTAACCATATTCAAATAAGGCCTTCACATCATCCAGTCCGGCATACTGTCCGCTCTACCGATGGACTTCAACTACAAATCTGGCACTTATTAGCTTTAAAATTGTAACCATATTCAAAAAAGGCTTTCACATCATTCAGTCCGGCATACTGTCCGCTCTACCGATGGACCTCAACTACAAATCCGACACATGTTAACTTTAATTATTCTCTTATCTCGTCCGGCTACATATCCGCTGTTCGATGGCTCTCTATTCCCATCTTATACACCCAATGGTTACATTTGCTGAGACGCGACTGATCAATGTATTGTCCGATGACATGTCCGCTGAGCGATGGCACTCCATTAGCCTCGCGTTTCACTAACCTACGCTCCTGTTACTACCCTCGGACGCATGTCCGCCCGTCGATGTCACTCACTTACACAGCCTAGCCATCCTCCTGGTGCATTCTTATAGTCGGATGTTCAGTGGCTTGGCCTCCACTACCCGTCCGCCGGGCTCTCCGCCCATCCGAAGGTACACGACACTGGGCCGACAGTCCGCTCGAGCGACAAATATCATCTCGCTTAAATCCGCTGACACGATGACACTCGTCCGGTACTACTGCATGGGCTGGCAAGACAGGCATGGCAAGCGCAGGAAAATGCTCGGCTCGCCAGGGAAGCTGAGGAACGTGCAAGGCAGGCAGAGGAGGCGGCCAGGCAAGCTCGAGAAGCAGAGGCCGCCATGCAGGCGGCGAGAGCGGAGGCAGAGCACGCTAGATGGGAGGCGGAGCAGGCTCGAGGGGTTGTGCAGCGCGAGGCAGAAATACAGCGGCAGGAAGCGGATCGTAGGGAGAACCAACTGAGAGAAGAGGCGAAGAGGGCGACGGAGGCAGCTCAATGGGAAGCGCAGAGGCAGCGAGAGATTGCTGCCGAGGAGAAGAGGAAGGCGGTCGAGGCACAGCAGGCTGCCGAGGCTGCGGCCCGAGCAGCAGCGGAAGAAGCTAGCCGTGCTCATGCGGCAAAGGAGGAGGCGGAGCGTCAGCTCCGAGAGGGCATCCAGCCTGTCATCATGCCCTCCACTGTAGACCTCGAAGCTGCCAGGCGCCGAGTAGGGTACCGCGAGGGCTACTACCACTTTGCCGTCACGGGAATTGCGGGTAGCGGCAAATCATCGCTCATCAACGCATTCCGCGGCCTACGCAGTGGGGAAGCAAACGCAGCTGCGACCGGC